GCGACGACACACACACACACACACACACACACACACACACACACACACACACACACACACACACACACACACACACACACACACACCATCTCGGGAGGCGGCGATGCAGCAAAAGACGAATTCCACCAGCTTTGGGCCGTACTTGCCGCTCAAAGCCTTGATGGTGTTTTCCCACTTGGCCGTCTGCATGGTGTTGTGGTGAGAGAAGGGAGGTGGGTGTGAGCGTGCGTGGACCCACCACAAGCAACCTACCTCACACACACACACACACACACACACACACACACACATCGGTTGACGCACCATGATGGTTGCCGTGGCCGTCACTGCCTTCGTTCCTTTGCCGGTGACGCAGTTGATTGCTGGCTGGGAGAAGGGGTGGGTCGAGTGAGAGAGGCTCGAACCAAGAAGGGGCGGTTGCGCACAAAACAAACAAGAAAAACAACAAAAACAAAAAAACACCGGGATGACGTATAATTCATATATGTTCTTTTCGCCCTATTTTCCCATCTGGCATCTGTGGCGCAATTGGATAGCGCACTCGGTTCCGGTCCGAGAGGTTGCGGGTTCGAGTCCCGTCAGGTGTACATGTTTTTTGCTCCGTAGAGGTTTTTTTTTTTTGTTTTTTTTGGGGTGGTCGGTCTGGCGGCTCACGTTTCCTGCTGCTACACACAACAGCAAAACAATCGATTCGTACCTGCGTTTCAGTCACAGCCATCACACACCCGCACAGAATGCGAGGTGGTTCTGTGCTCACCACCTTGTTCGCTGCTTTGGCAGTGGTGTGGCTGGGGCTGGGTGATATTGAGGGTGTGGAGGCCGGCAGGCTCAGGGTGTACGCAAAGAGCGCCGAGGTCAGCGTATCGATCACGAATATCTTAGCTGGGGGGTTGAATGTGGCTGCTAGGCTTCAAGTCGAAGGGGTCACAAGCTTCATCGAAACGCGACGGGTCGGGACCAACCACCCAACATGGAACCAATGGCTGGACTTTGGACGAACAGACATTGGTCCCTCGGTCAGTGTTCTCAAGCGAGTATTCATTGGTGTACACCGGCTCAAAGATGTACATACATCCACAAGCGGAGTCAACACATATTATTGTTCGCTGTCTTGTCACGTTACATTGCTTGAACCTCACAGTGTCGCATATTTGCACTGCTGTTCTGCGCAATTCATTGTTTTTGTTCTACAGGGGACGGTGCGGGCGCAAGTGGTCAACTACGACAACGGCGGGGGACTTGATGTGGTAAGCATCATGCTAGTCCGTGGTCTACATACACATTTATTCCAGATGTGCTTTCGTGCTTCCCCAAAGACATTTACATATGGCTTCAGTACTTACATTTGCGCACGTGTCGTTCGTTCGTATCACAGCGTGTCCAAGACAGGTTCAGCTTCTCGTTCAGCGGATGCAGCAAGCAAACGCGGTCCTTTCGTCTGACCAAAGAACTCTACCGGAGTGGTCCATTCGGCATGTCCATCTACATTGGCACCTCCATCTTTGACTTTACCCTCGAGTACACCCCAAGTAAGCACCAGCAATGTGCTGATTGATACCTTGATACTGTATTTGTCCTGCGAGAAAGACACCCCTTGCCCGCGTCATCTTTCATCTGTTCCTTTCCTCACGCTCTCACGCGCACTCCACCTCCCCTCAACCCCTCCAACAGCCAACCTGTGCTCCACGTCCTATTGCGATGCGACCTCGACCACGTGCTCCTGCCGCTCCGACAACAGCGCAACGTGCGTCACTGATGTTGTACCACCGCGACCACCGAGCCACGCGGTTGCTCACTTCCGATGTTTGTGCACGCTTCCCTGTTTTCTTTGTCACCTTCAACCTCCACCAAACCCCCAACCCCCAAACATGTCCATCAACCACCCTCCTCTCCCAATCCCTTGCAGGTGCTCCTGCAAGAGCGGGTACACGTACCTTGATGCCCAGCGCTGCCAAGAACGCAACATCTGCACCAACAACGTCAAAGGTTGCGACCTCTCCTCCACCACGTGAGTTGACCATGTGAGAGGGAGGACAGGAGAGCAAAGGAGGGTTGACTCGCATGCATTGTGCTGTCCAACAGCGCGACGCGACGCGATTGCCTCTTATGCCGTGGCACCCGTCGCACCATCCTCGTCCACACACCCCTCCCCTGTACTTCACCACCACCATCCCCCCTTTTCCTTCTCTCTGCTTTGACAACAGGTGCCGCAAGACGGGTCCAGGCACGGCCGAGTGCGACTGCAAGGCCGGCTACCGCCGCAGGACCTCTACCTCATGTGCCGCCATCAACCCGTGCAGTGACAACCCCAACATCTGTGGCAGCAACTCCCAGTGCTCCATGACGGGACCAGGCACGTACAGATGCACGTGCGAGGATGGCTACTCCTCGTCTACAGCCGACAACAAGAACTGCAGGCCCATCGACAGGTGTGAACTGAACACGGACACATGCGACGGCAACAACACCATCTGCGAATACCTGGGACCAAACAGGTTCAAGTGCACGCCATGTCCAGACGGCCACAAGGCGACGGACGACGAGTGCAAGCAGATCAACCCCTGCATGGACAACGAAGGCATCTGCGGTGACAACGCGACTTGTGAATTTGCCGGACGTAAGTCAGTGTGTGTGTGTGTGTGTGTGTGTGTGTGCGTGCGTGTGCGTGTGTACATCAAAGCTGTGCATCCATTTTCATCGCACCTCATCTCACATGATTCCATCCGTATCGACTGTTTCCTCTGCTCTTTATCCCCCACGTCCCATGGTACAGCTGGCAAGTACGCGTGCCTGTGCGCGAGTGGATACGAGCACGACTCGCCCACAGACAAGTGCACGCCTATCAACTTTTGCGAACAGACACCAGGCCCTTGCGGCGACAACTCCAAGTGCTCTCCAACAGGTGCTGTTTGTGTGTGTGCATGCGTGCGTCAGAGAGAGAGTGTGTGTATGTGGTGTATGTTTGTGCGTGCAGGTGGAAACGTGTCTGGTTCATCCCAAGCTTGATCCACACTCTCGATTCCACACTCTCGTCTCCTCGCTGCTGTCTCACCCTCATCTGCCTGCTTCCCCTTGCCCCTGCAGGTCCCGGCACATACACGTGCCAGTGTGAGCAAGGGTACGAGTCCGATGACAATGCCCAGACGGTGAGTCGCACCATACCTTCCCCTAACGCATCTGCAACCACGCCGACCTCGAGACACACACACACACACACACACTCTGTCACTCACCACGCACACACATACACACACACACAATGTTCATCCACAGAACTGCTCGCCCATCAACCGGTGCGACACGAACAACGGCGGGTGTGGTTCCAAGTCCCAATGCGATCACACGGGACCAGGCACGCGCAGGTGCACGTGCGACGCTGGCTACAGAAGCACCTCCAACGACGGAGCAAACTGTGTGGTGGGTTCACGGTGCAGCTGTTGAGTGGCAGCTGTCATGTGCATGTGCGTGTACACTTGTGCTCCATCGCTCATTGTTGTTGCCTCTCGTCCCAACAACACTGCTCCTTGCATGACATGCGTTCACCCTTCGCACTTACACCCACCACCACCACCACTATCAACATTACAGGAGATTGACCCGTGTGTCACCGACAACGGAGGCTGCGGCGATGCAAGCACCACCCTGTGTGTAAAATGTGATGTGGTGCCTTGTGCTCCATCATTATTGTTGTGCTTGCAGCATGCCAGCTTCTTTTGTGGCGCTTCCACTTGCACACCACCACCTGCCGTTCCCCTCACCATCACCATCACTCCAACACACCATCTGCTCCTGTGCTCCGCCATCTCTTCGCTGCAGGTGCACCAAGACGGGCCCGAACGAGCGCGAGTGCAGCTGCAGGGACGGATTCACGTCGGAGACGGGGCGCGACTGCATCTGGATCAACCCATGCGTCAACGAGGACTACGGCGGCTGTCTGCAAGCAACAGAGATGTGAGCCTGTGTCTTGTTGTGCTGTTGTGTGCGTTGTATGCGTGTGTGTAGGCGTACATTGCATCTGCGCGTTCATCACCACCGATGTTGCTTGGCATTGCACCCCACCTGACTTTCGCACGCTTCCATCCTTCACCTCCACAACAACAGCTGCATGAACACGGGCCCCAATGAGAACAAGTGTGACTGCCGCACCGGCTTTCAGTTTGACGAAGAGACCGGACACTGCCAGGTGTGTGTGTGTGTGTGTGTGTGTGTGTGTGTGTGTGTGTGTCGTTGGAGTTCTTGTGACACTGGCGTACATCATGTTGTTTCCCCAGACACATCACTGCACTGCAATGCATCTCTCAACTGCGCGCGCTCACGCATCAGCATTCTCTCCTCCTCTCGCTCCTCTCCTCACTCCTCCCCCTCCCACCACCGCCACCACCCAAAGTGCGGTGAGCGGCCGGCGTGCCCAGAGTTTTCGGCGTGTCAGGACTCTTCATGCGTGTGCGAAGGGGGTTTGCGGTTGGTGGAGACAGACGTGGGTGACTTAGCCTGTGCCCCAACAACAACAACAACCACCACCACCACCACCACCACCACCACAACAACAACAACAACAACAACAACAACAACAACAACAACAACAACCACAACCACCACTACAACCACCACCTCTGCGTCCCCCATCGTTGTCATCACGACACCCTACACTGCGGCAGCAGGAACAACCACAACGACAAGCACAACCACGGCTGGCACCACGACCGGTCGTGATATGCAACCACAGCCCACCTCCACCACGTCCACCTCTGCCGTGTTCACCATTGCGCCTCCGAATCGCCAGCGATCATCCACGTCATCTGCTGCAAATCCCGTTGTCATTGGTGCTGGTGCTGGTGGTGCACTCGTCGGGTGTGCACTCCTCATTATTGTTGTTGTCCTCTTTGTTCGACGTCGCCGCCGTGACCACCACGACGGACATCGCGACACGACAACTTCGGTGCCGCCGTCTCGTGCACCCACGGATGGCGGGGCTGTCCCCTCGTCGTTGTCGAGCATGTCAACCACCAACCCGCTGTTTGTTGGCGACGCCATGATGGAGCCAGCAAGCATGCAGCCAGCCTGGCTGCCCGAGGAGGAGGCAACCGCGTTTGATCTTGATCCCAGGAACCACTACGACAACCTGTATGAAGATGATGTGGTGGACGAAGCTGACAACTACTACGAAAGCGTTCAGCCTGCTGATGACCAGGACAGGTATTTGACGCCAGGCCAATCCAAGCTGTACGCCCCAGCATATCGTGTCCCGAACGTGATGGATGGTGGCGGTCCAACACAACACACCCACGACAGGGATCGGGGCTACGAGCAGCCTGCATCGACGCAGCAGCACTACTACGATCGTCCGCAGCCCGACGACGACAGCAACAACAACAGCAACAGCAACAGCAGCAGCCATGACCATGAGCATGAATACCACCACTACGATTTTGTTGCGGCGCAACCAGAGTACGAGAACCCTGGCGCCATCTACGATATCGCCAGCGATCCTGTTCAAGTGCAGGGCGGGCAGGTCATGGATGATTACGCGCAGCTGCACGTCCCCTTTGCAACAAATGTAGCGACACAGCGCGAGCAGGGACGACGGCCACAGTCCAATGCTGTGTACGATGTGGCGTCCCCGTCTGCCCTCCTTGAACAACCCACTCATCACCACCAGCACCATCTGTATGAGCTTGGCAGCGATACAGGTGTTGACCCAGCAGCTCACAACGGTCTCCCCTCCACCGACCAGTCTGACCTCGCACCTGTCTACGACGTTGCGAGCGACTCACATGCATAACAACCAGCGCAGCAGAACGGACCAAGGAGGAAAGGAGGAGTGAACAAGCGACTCGAGTGAGTGAGTGGAGGGGGGGGGGGGCATTGAGGGACTTGAGTGAAGGGTTGCAGGACGAGGGGCGGCTGTTGTTTGTGGCTTTCGTTCGAGATTTGTTGTGTCTGCTTCGTGCCTGTAGAGTTTTATTGAAATACACGGCCAGTTTTCCAAACTTGGGTGCAACAGCCAGAAACAAACACCACACGACGCAAAGACACAACACCAACCACGACTACGACACAACACCAACTACACGACCCACGAGACGTAGCCATGGGCGACCGACGTGGAAACAACGGCGATGAGGGAGAGCAGGGGAGGTTTAGTCGTCGCCCCGTGCGTGGGGATGATGGCTTTGGCAGTGGTGAGCAAAGGGTGGAGTACCCGTTCATCAAAGGGTTTGCAGCAGGATTGTTCGTTGCCCACTTCAACAGACACCTGCTGATGGGCGCCCTTCTCGGAACAGCGGCAGGCATGTACTACCAGCAGGAGTTTGGGGCCCCAGATGTCAAGCAAGTATATGACGACACATGCGAAAAGCTCAAAGACCTGCTGAAGCCGCCCAAGAAGTAATCGTACGCTGTTTGTTCTGTGTTTCATACCCGCCTTCGTTGTGTCGAGTGCAGCTTGTTGTGTCGAGTGTAGCCATTTATGTTTGAGATGCATGTTCGTGTGTTCGACACGACGCGACTAGCATGACGACGACCTTGTGTGTGTGTGTGTGTGTGTGTGTGTGTGTGTGTGTGTGCGTGTGTTGTTCTCGCTTAGTGTCTTCTTCGTTCTTTGTTCAGCTTGTTACCTTCCACTTGGCATTGACTGCGCTTGCACACCCGTCACCCTTTGTTGTGTTTCCCCTCCCCACATCAGCTTGTACAGTTGTTTCGCACGCTTTGCACACACTTTTGCCGCTTCGCCCCTCTTGATGCGTCTTTTGTTCCTCCTTGCTTGATTGATTAACTGGAAATGTATTGACAAGTGCTCGCCTGGGTCTGGGATGTGGTTTTTGCGGCCACTGCACAAGGCATAGCTTGGCCAGCCAGCGTGCACGCCACACAGTTATCCTCAGCCAGTTGAAAGGAAATACACAACAACGACATTGAAACCGACACACATCAGCGCTGATGACACGCATCAATACAACCTCACGTCACGCTCCAACTGAAACACACACACACACGACAGCTGTACAAGGTGTGTTCGTTCCTGCAGTCTATGACATGGCCATGCCGTTGGTGGTGAACGCCATCACCTCCAAGATGGACGGGCGGTGCTCCACGATGCGCTTTAGAAGCTGTCGGTGGCCAACGCAAGCACCACGACGGTTTGATGAGCACGCATTGCGTATTGTATGGGTTGTGGGGTGAACTGGACAGAGCTGAAGATATCATGGAGGGGCGAAGCAGGACAGCAATGGAAGAAGGCCCATCACATCGTCTGCCTCCATGTTCGATTCGCACCATCACCCAGCAGATACACACCCACCCACCCACCCACCCACCCACCCACACACACACACACACACACACACACACACACACACACACACACACACACACACACACACACACACACACACACACACACACACACACACACACACTCACACACACACACACACACACACACACACACACACACACACACACACACACACACACACACACACACACACACACACACACACACACACACACACACACACCTCGTTAATGTAAGTCTCGAGCAAGTTGTTGTCCTCCTCCTGTTTGTGCACATGCTCCTTCAACTCCTCCGTCGACAGGTCCGGGAAGGAGGCTGGGTCAACTGGCTCATCTTGCTGGAGGCGTGGAAGACCCGTCATAATGGACGTCTGCACGCCGCTGTCCTGCTGCAACACTTCGCCCAGCAGCTGGTCAATGTATCGCCGGAACCGGCGCGCCTCCGTCTGCCGGATCTGTTGATGTGTGATAGGGAAGGTGGTGGGGTTGTGGTGGCGATGAGGAGGAAGAGGATGATGCGATCGGAAAACAATAGCAGGCGACGTTGGTGGACTGAGACAAGCACACACACACATCCACCCACCCACCCACACACACATCCACCCACCCACCCACACACACATCCACCCACCCACCCACACACACCCACACCGACACCCACACTCACACCCACAAACAAACAAACAAACAAACAAACAAACAAACAAACAAACAAACAAACAAACAAACAAACAAACAAACAAACAAACAAACAAACAAGCACACAAGCGCCGTGCCCCAGCACCTCGAGTGTTTCAATGAGCGTGTCTCTGTCGACGACAGGCTGTTGCGAAGACCCGTTCGCTTCATCATATGCATCCAGCGCCTGGCGTTTCTTGTACTGCAATGGTGGTGATGGTCGGACACGAAGGTCAGATGAAGGAAAATGCGGGAAGAGAAGGACGCAACTGCTTGCAATTCATTGGTGGTGATGGCAGGTAGTGGTCATCATGTGTGCCATCGGCTCGATTGGCGAGGTGTTACCTGCTCCTTCAGCGCTGCCAACTCCTCCTTCTGCTCGCGCCTTAAGCGTTCGATTTCATCACGATGACGATCGGCGCCTTGCATTTCAAGGGCAGCGATGCGAGAATCCTGGGCGTCCAAACATGAACGAACAACAGCGCACATGAGTTGATGTGTTGGCGCTTGTAAAGTGTTGAACACGACCACAACCACGACCACAACTACACTCGCCCAGCACAAGCGCTGGGCGATGATGATCACCTTGTCCTCAATGCGCAGGAGGAGGACATTGATCTTCTCAAAGATGATTTTGTTGGAGAGATCGCGAACTTGCTGCGTCAAGTCCTGCACCGCCCGCGACTGATGGTGATGATGGTGACGATGGTGATGGTGAGGAAGGAAGACTGCACAAGCAATATGGCTTCACACCAAGCAATCACGCCATTCCAACACGCAATGAATACCAACTCAATACCGCGATCACACACGTCAGCTCACAACAGCACAATGATACACAATCATATATGTTGATACCACCTGGAGCCAGACCTTGTCGTCGAGGTCAGCTTGCAGCTGGCGGGCGGTGCGCTCCGCCTGCAGTTTGCTCGAGAGCACGTCCGACAGCTGCTGGCCCATCTCCCGCACCTGCGCATGCGCAGACGCAGCCGCTGTTGCACGACCGCACGCAGATGTGTGCACGCGAAGCAGTAGACGGGCGAGCGTGAGCGAGGTGCTGTTACAAGGGGGTCCATAAGGTGTTCATGCGAAGCAATCCACCTCAAAGCTCGCACACACGCACACGCATGCACACATACACAGTACACACACATGCATGCACATGAACAGCACTATCACACGACATATTGTCGTCACTCACCGCTGCTGGCCTCAGCCTTTTCCTTCTCAAGCGCAGCGTACTTCCGCTGCAGGTTTGACAGCTGCTGCTGCTGCGTCGTCATGTTTGCCTGATGGGAAGTCAAAACCCAAGTCAGCGACGATGAAATGGGGTGAGAGACTCTGATTCCAAGCTCCCTTTACACACACACACACACACACACACACACACACACACACACACACACACACACACACACACACACACACACACACACACACACACAGAGGGTCCCGACCTCGTGTTGCTTGGCCTTTTCCGAGTGCTGCTGCTGGTCTTGCGTCGCCTTCTCCTGTGCCGCCGCCAGCTGCTTCTGCGCACGCACAAGCTCCTCCCGCTGCGATGAAACTGAGGTGGTGGTGGTGGTGTGTGTGTGTGTGTGTGTGTGTGTGTGTGTGTGTGTGTGTGTGTGTGTGTGTGTGTGTGTGTGTGTGTGAAATAGGTGTGTTGCTGATCAACAGAACGCATTCTCGACACAAACACACCCATTTGCACCCCTTCATACACACACACGCCATCAGACGCTTGTGTGTGCGCCTCACATTGCCTTCGCAGCTGCTTCATCTCCCGTTTGATGTCTGCGTTCGTCGCTGTCAGCGTCTCCACGGCTGCTGCTTTCGCTTCAAGTTCCTTCCTCGCGTCGGCAAGGTCCTCTGCCGCCTTTCGCGCTTTGCGCTCATGTGTGCGTGCTTTCGTCTCTGCGCGTGTGCGTGCGCCCTCTGCTGCCTCAAACTCGAGACGAAGGGCAGCCATGGCCGCAGAGTGGTCGTGCTCCCGCTTGCTCAGCTGGGCCTGGCGGTGTGTGTATATATATATATATATATATGTGTGTGTGTGCGTGTGTTAACGCGCGTGTGTATGTGTGTGGTTGCATGCATTTGCGGATGAGTTGCGGAGCGGAAAGGTGAGACCAATTTGCATCGTCCACTACACAGACACGCACACACACACGCACACACGCACACACGCATACACACGCACCTGGGTCTCTGCCTCCACCTCCTGCAGGCGTTTGCGTGCGCGCTCGTGCTTCTTTGCAATCTTGTCCTTCTCTGCGACGGCGTCCTCCAGCTCCTGCGCCAAGCGGGACTTTGCTGCCGTGAGGTCGGCAACGCGCTGCTCGGCAGTGCTGAGCGACTGCTTCAGTTGCTGCGAGAAAGAGAGAGCGCCAATTGGTGGTGGTGTAACGTTGCGTGATGATGTGATGGTGTGATGGTGTGATTGTGTATGTTGGTGTGACGGTGTGTGATGGTGTGTGTGTGTGTGCGTGTGTGTGTGGACAGATGAGTTATGTGAGTGAATATGCCGCAGCGGAAATACGTGCTTGGCGGGCAGTTCTTTCAGACAAACAAACACACACACACGCACACACACACACACACCTGCACGTCGCGTGTGAGTTCGGTGTTTTGTGCGCGGACGGCAGCGAGTTCCGCTGACGTCTGATCGCTCTCAGACTCCTGCAGGCAATGCAGCACCACCACGTGATTGTGAATTCGGGCGAACGGGGCAAAGGATGGTGGAGCGATATGAACGAAGTACGTTGACTTACTCATGCACGTGAACAAGCACACGCATACATTTGCACATGCACACACGCACGCACGAGTATGCATGTCCACACACACACACACACACACACACACACACACACACACACACCTTCTCTGTGGACAGCTGTTGGTTCTGTGCTCGCAATGCAGCGAGTTCGTGTTCCAGCGATCTGATCTGTTCTTGCTGGGCGTGCGCCTCCCGGCTCAAGTCCGCCAGTTCGCCTTGAAGGTCTTCCTCCTTCGCGCGATGGGAGGACCGCACTTCCTTCAACTCCTCCTCCAGTGACGTCAGCGTCGCCTGCATGTCGGCGTTGTCGTCCGCCTGCGCCTGCAGGGAAGAGACGGTGCGTCTCAGCTCGTCTCGCTCCTCCTCAGCGGCTGCGAGTTTGCGCCTGATGTCATCAACCCCTGCGGTTGCGTCACGTTGCCTTGTATCGGCTTCTTCCCGCATGTCATCAATGCGTGCGAGCAGCTCGTCCTTCTCCTCGCGAACACTCGACAGCGCCACGCGCGCGCTCGCCAACGCCTCCTGCGTGTGTGTTTGTGCGTGTGTGTGCGTATGCGTGTGCGTATGCGTGCGTGCGTGCAGACATCAGCGTACACGTGCGGGTGAGTGTGCGGGTGAGTGTGCGTGTGCGTCACAAAATGTGTTCGTGTATGAGAGTGCAAATCTGCAGCAGCGCGTGCCGACACTTCCCTCCATCACCAAACGGGTGCTGCTGACAAACCAGCGAACCTTGAGAGTATGTATGGCCTCGTCGCCCTCCCTCGTCTGCGCTGCCATGTCCGATCGCAGCTGCTCCGCCTCGGCAGCGCCAACACCGCGCTCGTGCTGCCCATCATGGTCATGTGCGGTGGCGATGAATACAATGGTGGCGCAGGTGTGGTCGTGGCGTGGCGTAGTGTGTTGATGCGTGGCGTGGTGGTAGCAGCGGTTGGTTGTGACGACGCACACAGGTACGCAGGTGAAGGGCAGGCAAAGCATCATCGTGTGTTGCTATCCTCTCACCTCCAGTGTGGCGATCTTTGTTTCCGCGGTGCGCAGCTGCTGGTTCAGCTCATCAACCTGCAGAAAAAGAAAAAACACAAGGGGGTGGCGTGGCGTAGACATCAGCGTTTACACACACACACACACACACACACACACACACACACACACACACACACACACACACACACACACACACACACACACACACACACACACGAACCATTGCCGTACCTGGTGTTGGAGGACGATCTCGCGGGTGGAGTGCTCCTCGGACGCGGCGGCCTGGCTGTCGGCCATCTGCTCAAGCTCCCGCAGCAGCCTGATCAGTGGAGAGGGGTGGGTGGGAGATGAAGGGGGTGAGAGGTGTCAAGTGAAGAATAGACAGATGGGCTCATTCACGGGCGGAATAACGGACAGAGAGACAGAGACAGGCGCGTGTACACACACACACACACACACACACACACACACACACAGACAAATGCACGCATATCGCACCTGTCGCGATCTGCAGTGATGCTGTCTGCGTGTTGGCGCAAAGCGGACGTTTCATCCGTCTCGCGTTCTAAACGCCGCTCAAGATCGCGAACGGTCTCCTCCAATTTCTCGATGGCTTCCTTCTTCACTTCCAGCTCGGCCTCCAGGCGACTGCACACACGGTGATGGCGGTGCAGTCGCAAGTGAGATGGTGTTGTTGGTATGATGCAAGCAAACTTGAACCGTTGGTGCAAATTACACGAACACATCACACACATACGCAGCCACATCACACACTTCACATGCATACAAGGACACACGCAAACACACGCAAACACACGCAAACACACGCAAACACACGCAAACACACACAGACATATTGCCCACCTTGTGGCTGCCGCTGCTGCCGCTGCTGTTGACGATGACGAGCGAACGAATGGGATCTTCACGCCATCATCGTGGTCATCATCACCACCTGCTTCGCGTGCGTGTGTGTCTGCGGCCGCCTGTTCGCCATCAGCATCGGCGCTGACGGCTGTTGATGCCTTGAGACGCGCGTTCATCTCCTCCAACTCACGAATGCGCAGCTGCAACTGGCCAACCTGGTGGAGAACACACAGACAGGAGAGAAGGGTACGCGCATGTGCAGGTAGTCATACGCGTGAGGGAGAGAACAGCACATGAAAGCAGTGCCGCGCGCTGTCACACACACACACACACTCTAAGTCGTGTTTTGTCAGCCAACGCCTCTTTCTCATTCATATATGTCCATGCTTCAACCACCATCCCCATCACGACGACGACGACGACCACCACCACCACATTGATGGCGGCGTACCTGGGCCTGGCTGCGGCTGAGGCGGCGGTGAATGTCTGAATCTGCGAGCAGTGGAGATGGATCGATCCACGCGTTGTCGTCATCATCGACATCGCTCACCTGGCGTTGGTGGTGGGAGGCGAGGCGTGCAAAACAACACGGTATGCAGAGTACACACGGCAAGGTGAGAGGTGGGGTGGTTGTGACCAGCACAACCGCTGTAAACAGGAGCCAACCAACCAACCAACCAAACAGCCAATCAACACTTGAGAGCCAACCATGCGTGTGTCTGCGGTGTTTGCGAAGGAGAGCATCTGCTGCAGTTCTGAGTGCAAATCGTCCCGCTGTGCAGTTGCACTCAACAGCTCATTCAACGACGCCTGAATACCACCATCACAACGGTCACGGTGGTAGTGATGATGATGACGATGATGACGATGACGATGATGATGATGATGATGATGATGATGATGATGATGATGATGATGATGATGATGATGATGATGATGATGATGATGATGATAGTGGCGGTGTACGTGTATACGTTAGAAAAAGTGATTGGCATTGGTAGTGGGCTGGGAGCAAGCGGAATAGATAAGGCATGGGAGCACCAGGGGCGGCGTAGTGGTGTGATGAGAGGGGCACTCGCATGCAACGACTGTCCCGAACCTTGAGGTTGTTAATCTGGGCGCTTTGGCGATGTGCCTTGATCTCGTGTTCCTTCAGCAGCACCTCTGCTGCCTCCCGCTGCTGCTTCTCTGTTAGCGTGATGATGGCGGCGGCGGCGGCGGTGGTGGTGTAGAAGGCATGGAGTGCATTAGCGGGCATGAAACAGTCACACACACATACACATACAACCTCAACCACATCGCATCACACCATGCTCGGTTATAGCACTAGCAGCAGCAGCAGCAGCAGCAGTTGCGGCGCACCAATTTGAAGGCGCTTTCGAACTTTGTCCAGTTCTGGCGCCCAGAAGTAGTTGATGGACATGAGGGCACCAGAGAGCTTGTAGCTCGTCACGTCAAGCTGAGGGCACGCGGCACACGGCACACGGTGGCGTGAACAGCGCGAAATACTGTGTGAATATACACGTCACGTAGGAAACATGCTCCACCACCAGCAACATCATCATCATCGTCGCGCGCACACACACGCACGCACATACACACACATACACACACACACACACGCACATACACACACATATACATACATATACATACATATACATACACACACACACACACACACACACACACACACACAAACTACAAAACACAAGCCGCACCTGCTTGTGTGCGTCAATGAGGTCGCGGCGGGCGGCGAGCAGATTGTCCTGCAGATACTTGATCTCCGCTGCCTCAAACCGGCGCAAGTCGTCCGTCGACTGCATCGGGGACGATGGCGATGGCGACGAGGCAGCCCCGCGGCTGTACTGCAGCATCTTGGGTGGCTGGTACAGCGGGTGGTAGGCGTGCGCAGGTGGGTGGTGGTGGTGATGGTGTGGGGCTGTTGCTGCAGTAGACGCTGGAGGAGGAGCAGGCCGACCTGCCTGGCGGTGCTGGTGGTGGTGGTGTTGCTGATGATGATGTTGTTGTTGCTGGTGGGCTGCATAGGGGCTGCGTGGCGCAGGCACGAGGCCCGCGCCCTGCTGGCTCGGGTGGGCCACGGAGGTGGCATAGAAGGTCTTTGGCGACGTGCCCGGATACGCTGGCTGGTGGTTGCGGAAGGCGGGCTGCTTCTCAACAGGCGTTGGCCGGGAGGACCCTGGCTTTGAGCCGGGATTGGACGAAGCCACAGGTGTCTTTGCTGGGCTGTGTATCACATCCTCCCACTGCAGGGCGTCCGTGTTGGCCCGGCCCGGGCCTCGCACGCGGTCGCGTAAGGGGCTGCTGCGCATCTTCCTGCTGGCACGTGGCGACTTGCCCGACGATGAGGATGACGTTCGGGCATGTGGGCGGCGCGATGCCTCTGCACTGCCATGGCTGCCGTATTGCTGTGCTTGCTGCTGTTGTGGGGTACGCGGTGGCGACCATTGCGCGTGGGTGTGTCCGCTCATGCTGGTGCTGCCTTGCTGCCGCTGCTGCTGGTGCTGGTGCTGGTGCTGTGGGTGTTGACCTGCTGTTGCTCTCTGTTGTGAACGCGCTGGCACGTCAGGCATAGCCTTCACCCACAAGCAGGTGCAGATGCACATGTGTGTGTGTGTGTGTGCGTGTGTGTGCGTGTGTGTGTGCGTGTGTGCGTGTGTGTGCGTGTGTGTGTTGTAATGCGATGTGAGACGGTGGAACTCAAAGGCAGCATCACCATGCCAACCAAGATAGCGAGAGGGAAGTCGGGCACGCGGAAGGTTGGCAGTGCAATGCGTGTGTCTTGACATGACAACGTGGGTGGTTGGTGGGCTAGCTCGCCGCTTGCCTTCCCCATGAAGCATTTGTTTGGACGCACCTGTTGCTCATATCGTTTGGCGGTTCGATGTGGCGAAGGCGCACTTGTTTGCCCGCGCATGTGAAGACAAAGCGGGGTGGGAGCGCTGTTGCCCTGATGCACTTGACACGTTCAACGTGTCGTGCTGCCTATCATACAATCACAGGCGCGCGTTCGTGTGTGCGTGTGTGTGTGTGTGTGTGTGTGTGTGTGTGTGTGTGTGTGTGTGTGTGTGTGTGTGTGTGTGTGTGTGTGTGTGTGTGTGTGT